GGGGGGGAGTAATGCACATAAAACTACAAAATTTTTCAACTTAAATTCTAAGCCTATTTTTTAAAAAATTGTCAGAGGATTTGTACAGTGAGGAAAAAGAGAGCAAAACATCACCCCCCTGGGGGACAGTCATGCTGCAATCCCTTCTCATCGGTTTCTCCCTTTTGCAGTATTGAAGCACTCATTGCACATGCACCCAGCATTTTTTTCAAGCCAAGTCTCAAACCTGTGGGATATGGCCATCTTAACCACCGGGCAGTGAGCTGGCTTCTTAAGCCTATTTTAAGTATGCACCTCATTTATTATAATTTTAGGTAGACAGAATTACCATTGCCACAAAAAATACTTATATTAAAAATAACTATTATTACAACCAGTTAAATGTCATAATTCTTCAAACATTCCATATATCCCTTACTTTTTCCCCCATATATCCTTTACTTTTAAGATTGTATTCTGTTTATCAATATAAAACAAAGTATTGTTTTTTTAAGTAGCATACTCACTTTGGCAGAACATATACTAAAAAAACATTATAGCAAATCCTGATTATATATCAGCCAATCTTTTCTAAACCTTTAGTACACTAGATCTCGGTTCAGTTAAGTATCTTGGGCAAGAGAATTAGCTCAGTTAATTAGCCCAATTAATGTACTATATGATTTAGTCCCAATCTTACATATTTTTTCGATTGTTAGAATCTATAACTTTATCATAATTTTCTAATCTTAATTTAAAAATCAATGCTCAATAAACAACTATTGGCATGCCTTCTGCTAAAACCTTTAAAACTAAAATGTTTCCAACCGCAGAGAACTAAAATTGCATTCTAAGAAAACAGGAAGAATCTCAATTGAATGTAAACTTTTGTTTGCATAACAAAATTATGCACAATCATCATTCATGCTTAAGTTTAATCCTTGCTCCTCACCTACTAATTATTACTAATTATCAATCATCTATTTATTGGCTGTTATATGTGAAATACTGGAGAAAATGGCCATCCACTCAGAGGGTGATTTTTCTCTTTCTGACTCTCCAGTGAGCGCATGCATCCTATAGCAATGTTCAACTCCTCAAAATGCCATCTCTCATAAAACTTACTTAGCTCAGAAATTACATCACTTCCAAACGATTTTCCAAAACACCTCTCTCTGCTTGAATTAGGCAGCTTGTCTCGGATATCACAGAACCCTGTGTGTACTTCCATTAGACACTTGTAGATTTCTATCCATTCTACTGGTGTGTCTGCCTCTTCAACTACTAGCAAAAGGACAGTGACTGAGAGTAAAACCTGCATCCACACATCTAGTACAATGCCTGGCATGTATTTAGTATTCAATAAATGTTTGTTAAGTAAATTAATTCAAGAACTCACTACAAATTCAGGTCACATATCAGCAATCTAGCTATCTGATTTCATGTCTTTTGGGCTAGGTGCTTCTAAAACACTGTTATCACTGACTACTTGTCTTCTATCATTTATCAAAGCATTCTTCTCTCTACTTATTTCATTTTCCCATCCAAAGTTCTTAATTGTTCTATTTTAACTGAAAAAACATTTGTGGCAAAATGTGAAAAAGAACAGATAGACAGATGGTATACCACTAAGGTAAAACATATGTATAATACAATCATAGCAATGTACACAAAATTTAGCTTCAACTAGCTAGTTTGGTTTTGGTGTTTTGCTTTAGAATGTACGCTCGCCCGAGACATGGGGGGGGGGGGGGGAGAAGCCACCCACTCCAGCGGGGGATAGCCACACTGCAATCCCTTCTACTCCAGGCTCCTCTTAGGATTCTGGGCTTTGCATACACATGTGCTCAGCATGATTTTCAGGCCTCCAGGTCCAGGACATGAATTGCACAGCCAGCCAAGATGGATCTAGTGCCTCAACCTTCATGCCATCTGCTGGACCTGAACTAACTTTTAAAAATATTCAAAAGAGGGGCCAGCAGGTGTGTGGTGGTTAAGACACTGGGTCCCTCATGGCAGGCTACACTATTCAATTTCCAGACCTGAAGGCTTAAAAAATCACACCAGGCACATTTGTGTGCATGCCTAAAATCCTGAGAAGAGTGTGGAGGAGAAGGAACTGTGGCAAGACCATCCCTCTGAGGAGTGATTTCTCACTTTGCCTCTCTCTGTCTCTCTCCAACGAGTGCACATGCCCTGTGGCAAAACCTTAAAAAAAAAATTCAAAGAGACATTCCATAATACAGTAACATCAACAATACCAATAGCATTGACAATGGATCCAAGGCTTAAGGATCCATACCAAGGCAAATTAAAGCCAAATCTGTTACATTTAGTTACATTTAGACATTTAATATTTGTAAATTTGAAAGTCTACACTTTAGAGGTCCACCAGATGTCTAATGGCTATGCCACTGGATTCCCATACAGTCAACTGCAGTTCAAGTACTGGATCTGGCAGCTTAAAACTCACATCAGGTGTGCGTGTGCACCCAAGATTCCATGAGGAAAATGAAGAAGGGATTGCAGGATGGCCATCCACCCAGAGGGTGATTTTTCTCTTTCTGACTCTCCAGTGAGCGCATGCATCCTATAGCAAAAATCTTTAAAAAAAAAAAAAAAAAAAAGCCTACACTTTAATATTTGAAAATTTCCTGTATAAACCAAGTTCTTTTTTTTTTCTGGAGAGGTTTTTGCTATAGGGTGCATGCGCTCGCAAGAAAGACAGAGAGACAGAAAGCAAGAAATCACCCCGCAGGGGGAATGGCCATGCCACAATCCCTTCTCCTCCATTCTCTTCTTGGGATCTTGGGCACTCATGTACACGCGCCTGGCGTGAGTTTAAGCCACCGTGTACAAGACTCAAACTGCGGTCGACTACATGGGAATCCAGTGATATAGCCATTACGCCAACTGCTGGTCCCTGTATAAACCAATTTCTAATATAAACTGAAAAATGATACTTATTTGTATGTCTGAACACAAATTATAAAGGTTTTTTAAAATTACTATTACAGGGAACCAGCAGTTAGCGTAATGGTTTTTTTTTTTAATTACTATTACAGGGAACCAGCAGTTAACGTAATGGCTATGTCGCTGAACTCCCATGTAGTCGACCGTGGTTCGTGTCCCGGACCCGGTGGCTTAAAACTCATGCCGGGTGCGTGTGCGTGCGTGCCCAAGATCCCAAGAGAATGGAGGAGAAGGGATTGCAGCGTGACCATCCCCCCTGGGGGATGATTTCTCGCTTTCTGTCTCTATGTCTCTCTCTGTCTGTCTGGCGAGCGCACACGTCCTATAGCGAAAACCTCTCAAAAAAAAAAAGTTTTTTTAAATTACTATTACTACAAAAGTTGGTTTTATCACAATTCTACTTACTCCTTTTCTTCTGCGAGAAAAAATTTAATACACAATAAATCAATTTTAAGAAATTTAGGGGCTAGGCAGTAGCACAAAGGTAAAACAAAGCTCTTTAAGACCTACCCTCATGGAAAAGTTCCTGGTTTGCATCCAAGGAGACCTCCCTGAATATACTGAGCATCTATTTGCTGACTAAGGCTAGGGCTGGATCACAGCATCAGGACTCTATTAGGAATCCTATCTCTCTCGCTCTTTCTCTCTTGCTCATGGAAAAAACAATAAACTTTAAAAATTGAAATTTAGGGCCAGCAGGTGGCATATTGGTTAAGGTGCTGGGCTCCCACATGGATGACCATGGTTCAAGTCCCATACCTGGTGGCTTGAAACTCACACTGGGTGCATGTGCACGCATACCCAAAATCCTGAGAGGAAAATGAAGGTACTATGGTGAGGCCATCTCCCCCAGAGGGTGGTTTCTCATTTTCTTTCTCTGTCTTTCCAGTGAGTACTTGAACCCTATAGTAAAGATCTCTCTAAAAAATAAATAAATAAATAAAATAGAAATTTAGACTACTATACCTCCCTCCTCTAAGTTTTAAAATATATTAATTTTTTAATTAACATTTCTTTCAGATTACCTCTGGAAGTCCACTAGAAGCTACAATTCCAAGAGAATTCATAAAAGGTATAAAATTTTTGAAGTAAACATTTTTCACCTGAAAAAGAAAATTTAAAAATAGTCATTAAAATTTTAAACGAAACAAAACATGATCTCTGTCACTACTAACACTAGAAGGTACTGATATTTGATCAATGGCATACAGTCAAGCTAGAGTGCTACTACTATTCATTATCTTCTCAAATAATTAAACTGATTATTTACTATTTAATATGAGAAAGATTTGGGGTCTTAAAATGGAGGTAAGAGGGGAACTGTTAATGAAATGAGATTTATGGGAACAAAGTCCATTCAATATTCCACAGTTAACAAATGATAAAAAGACAGGACACTCAAAAAAAAAAAAAAATTAAGTAACTTGAACCAAGTTGCATGGCTACAAAGTGGCAGGATTTAAACTGAAATCCAATCTGTTGGCCATCAAAAACCAAGGTTCTTTTCATTTTTCTACACTGCCTCTTTTTGCTCTCCGAAGCATAATTCTGAGTACCTTACACACAGGTCATCTGATAACTACTTAGGAAATAGTACATCAATTTTTAAGGCTAAATTTAAGAAAATAATTTTATATATAAAATTAATACCCAATAATGCATTTCAAAACCAAATAAAAATATTCCATGGGATTATATGTTGTTTTATACAGTTCCCTGTGGTTAACCTGGACTTTTTTAAAAAAATGTAGTCAGACCACCTGGAGTTATAGTCTTGGTTATTCTACATTCTCAATGTGTTATAGAATGTTAAACAACTTGCTTTTCTTTATTTAATTTCCTTTTCCAAACTTGAGTCTACATTTATTAAGATGGAAATCATTTCAGTTCCTACCTTCCACTTCACAAATAAGCTGAAAGAATTGTTTCTAAAATATGTATTAGTTTTATTTTCTAATTAATTTCAAATTAATTAGAATATTTATAAGGTGGATAGTACTAATTAACCAATTAGTATGACTAACCAATAATTTTATAATTTGAATGTTGTAGGAATCATGTCAATCAATTTAAATACCACCAACGGTTTTAATTGATTATACTTTAAAAATTATAACTATAAAAATTTTCAATTCTAGGGCTGGCAGGTGGCGTGGTGGTAAAGGCACTTAACCATGGCTGACCATGGTTGAGTACTGGACTTGGTGGCTTGCTTTCTCACTTCCACTCCTTCTCTCTCTCTGGTCAAATTTTAAAATATTAATAATAAATAAATAATTCTTTAAACATTTTTTAATTCTAAGAATTATTTAAAATGAAAATTTAAAATGATTTATTACTTATCTTTTTTTTTTTTGGAGAGGTTTTTGCTATAGGGCGTGTGCGCTCGCCTATTACTTATCTTAAAAATGAAATTTTACAAGTAGTTCTGAAATCCAGAGAATTAATAACCAAAAACAGGAAAATTGAATTTACTGCTATTCATTATTTTGTGAATAATCAACCAACTGGAGTAAAAAATACATTTTAACAACATTTTTCATCTTATTTTGCAAAGATAATTTGTGGTTCTATAAAAATAATATATATATGTGTGTGTGTATATATATATATATATATATATATGTGTGTGTGTGTGTGTGTGTATATATGTGTATATATGTGTGTGTATATATATGTGTGTATATATAAGGTTGATCAATTGTTCTATGTATTTATCTATCTTTGATGAGAAGACCAAGAGCCACATAAAAGTCAGATATCTTATAAATCATCCTAATACTTAAACAAGATTTGAGGACCATACCTCCATTGTTTCCCAGAGCTGACAGAGAAATTTCAAAGCTGCTACATTTCATAGTACTGTCTGGGAGTAGTGAATTTTGGACAATATAACAAACAATGAGAATAATAGCATGGTAGAATGGAAAGAGCACTAGAACTAGATATCTCAAAGTTTAGTGAAGACATTGTTAGTATGACCTATTAGTTTCTGGAAGCTTGTTTACCCATTACTAAAAGGAGGCTGAGTACATTACTTATGAAATTCCTTCTAAACCCAGCATTCTAGATTGTGAATAAGTAACTCGGGTTTCCTGTGTATTCTCTGTAAGTCATTAACATTTGGCCTAATTTTTAGGAAGAAAGTAATTATAGAAGGCCAGACATAAATTTAATGTTGTTGGTATCACTCAGCACTAAAACAAAACATTAGGGTTTTCTTGGAAGGATAGTGAATAGCATTAAGTAACTTCAGAAGAACCAAAGAACAAATACACTTGAAAACAGTTGTCTTTATGATAGCTATTTCAGTGATTTCAAAGTAAAGGAGCTACTCCCTAAAATCAAAGTAACTAAACGTCGGGACCAACAGATGGCATAATAGTTATGTTGCTTGACTCCCATGTAGTAAACCACTGTTTGAGTCCTGGACCAAGCAGCTTAAACAACTCATGCTTGGCACATGTGCATGCATGCCCAAAATCCCAAGAAGAGAATGGAGGAGAAGGGATTGCAGCACAGCCATTTCCTCTGGGGGGTGATTTATTGCTTTCTGTCTCTCGGGTGAGCACATGCACCCTATAGCAAAAATCTCTAAAAAAAAAAAAAAAAAAGAAACTGAATGTGAAAAATATTTTCTTTTATAAATATTACACCACCACAAAAGAGTTAGCACTAATTACAAAAAGCAGGCTCATCACAAAAGAAGTATATCCTGTCAGTAAAAAGTTAAATCTAAGTCTCCATTGACTGTTTTAAAGAAATTATGATGTTAAATTACCTCATCTATATTACATTCATGTTCTTTGCAGAGAACTTCAATAATTCTTGTATCATTTTCTAGTTGTTTTGCTATCCGCGCACTCCTGTTCTGACCTCGTCTCGGTGTTCGAGGTGAACCATTAATGGGTATCACAGCTGTTCCTGTAAAAATCAGAAAGTAGACAAGAACAATTGCACATTCCATCCTATAAAATAATTAAATATTTTAATTATAACTCACTAGGTCAGATATAATCCTGGCAACATTCCAATATTTTTACTTGTTAGGTTTCGTTAGAAGGGTAACAATTTCATCTATATATTGAATATCTACTATATATTATTATACATTTATACTAGTTTTTTTTATCCCTATTCTTCTTTACTCCCAAAAGGAACTGTAAAATACCTACAGTCCCATAAATAAATACAAAGAAGTCAGAGAAATAGTTAACTTCTAAACTAATTCTAAGTGTATCCCACTCAGTCTGCAAAAGGAAAAAAAGTTTTCCATTTTAAAATCTTAAAAATGAGCAAATACTTATGTATTTAATTTCTAGTATAGTATAAAAATTATAAAAGTTTTAGTAAACTATGATGCTTTTAAAAGAAAAGTATGTAAATAGAATGATTTACATATGATGATAAACTGATTTTTAAAAACCCTGGATTATTTTAAGTATTCCCAATTCAAACGGAATACAGGTTCAACTATTAAAAGATAACAGATGATTAAGCATAAAAAGTATTTGTTGCCTCTAGACCCAACCAACAACTTACAAGAAACAGGCAGATTCAGAATATGTTAAATTATACCATCGAATAAATCATCAAAAATATGAGTGTAGAAAACTCAACAGGAAAACCAATCTGATTATTTAATAAATAAATCTTGGCAGGGGGACAAGAAAGGGACGGAAAACCTTCAAAAAAAGTTTAAAAGCATATCAACCAATCACAAAGTATAGAACTTGCTTAGATTCTGATTCAGTTAACCTATAAACTTTGTTTTGAATTACATTTATAAGATCATTGAAAATCTGAACATGTACTACATATTTGGTGATATAAAGGAATCACTGTTAGTTGAGTTTTAGGTGTGATAATGGAACTGTAATTATGCATTTTTGAAAGTCTGCCTTTTACAGATACAGACTGAAATACAAGGATTAAGCAGTGTACAACAATGTGTTTCAAAAGGATATAGCTGGGAGAATTGAGCAGGAGATGGGGCTACAAATTGGCCATAAGTTATCTCTTGAAGCTTGGTGTGAGTACATGGCAGCTTATTATATAAGGGGATTTCAAGATGCTTGTAGAAAATTAAAGTACAAGTTTATTTTGGTACAAAAAGTAGTATGAAATCCATGCACGGTGTGTTCATAATACATATTGTCCATGAACTTTTTGAATACCCCACATACTACTGTCTACTCTTACATTAATCTGAAATTCTCCATAACAGGAATTAGTTAAAAGTTTACTAAACTCAGGCAATTCAATACCTCATTCTGGGTTCTCTTTAACATAATAGTTAAAGAATTACATGTGGATTTTAATTATCTAAAAGAACAAAGACTCAACCTAGAGTAACATTACTATATCAACTTATTAAAATTATAATATTGGGGGAAAAAAGTGAAGAAAAGGACTATAAAGGAAATGTTTAAAGGTTGGGGAAAATTTTAAATACGTGTATAGTTTTCTATATATATTTTTAAAATTTCTCCCTCTGCTTTACATGTGGTGTTTGCTAACAAAGATTTCTGTCTTTGCCAAATCATGTTTAACGCATTTTCAAAATTTGGCTCCAGACTTCATTTTCACAAAGTTATTGTTCACAAAGACTAATAAGGTTTTAACTTTACAGCCACTTCAATAAAAACTTTAGACTTCCATATTTTGCCCCGTTGTCTATTATTTTTAGTATTATTGTTAATACTTTCATTATTTCAGGACCAAGAAATCTGTTCAGACTTAGTCAAGTTAATTTTTTTCTCTAGTATAATAAGTGATTTTGAAATCCTTCTCTTGAGGCTAACAAAGGAAGCAATTCTTAGTCTAAGAGGAATATACTCATCTTTAATTATGTTAGCAATAATTATTTTTATTTAAATGAACTTCTCATTTTATCACCCACCAAAATAGTATCAATGTAAAGCTCACACATAAAAACAATGTCACATCCAATACTAATAGGCACTTAGGTAAGCAGTTACTGTAGAGTGGGCTCATCTGTCCCATGTCATTTCACTCTTACTTCTGGCTTGCATTTTGCTTTTCTTTACCGGGAATGTCCTCCCCCAACTTCTTTGATAGGCATGCCTCTAATCCTAAAGACCCTTCAACACTCATTTGAAATACTACCTCTTTTATTTGGTATTCTTTAGTCTTCCGCAGCTGAGAAAACTTCCTTGTCTCCTGAACTCCCATAGCATTTGCTGTCTTTTTTAACAGAACACTTGCTACCATATACTCTAATTATGTGTTTACCTGTTTTATCTTTCCTTCTGAAACTTATATTCAGGGCAGAGACAGGTCTGATTTTTTTAAAAATCATTCTCAGCTTTAGAACCAGGTTTGGTACCACTAGACTTTCAATAAACAACTGGTGAATGACTGAGTAGAAAGGGCATAAATTATTTAAAATACTTACTATATGGTTCTTTGAGCAATGCAGGAGGTGAAAGTTTGATATAATAGTCAAGGACACACAACATCAACTGAAATGAGATTACTAGATCATCTTCCATTTGTAATACCTCCCCTGAAAATGAATATAAAGATTTTTATTTTCAAAAGTGAAAGCTTGGGGGAGATCTTTGTTTAAGTCAGAGAAAACTGTGGGTGTAAGTGTATTCATATACTCATGCATTTGACAATCACTAGAGGCATGATAGAGATTTTTTTAATTTCCAAAAGAAGTCAGGTTTAAATATACATAAAAATATAAACAAAATATTTGAAGTTATATAAATTATAAACAAAGTATAAGCCTAACATGAGAATTTTACAGTTAAATGTGATTATAAAAATTCATTCCTTATGTCTAAAATCATTTTGCTTTTTAAACTGATTTCAAATTTAGATAATAGCTATAGAATTCATTATTCTGAAAATAATTCTGAAATATGATACATGATACTCTTTAATTCTTATTATTTATAAAACCTCATGTATTTTCCATTTTAATTCACTTCCAAAATATTACAATAACCAAAGCCATTAAAAAATAACAAAATTAATATTTAATTGTAAGGTCATCTATAAAACACTTATCTAGCATAAAATTCTAAAAGGTCATACAATAAATATGCAACTAAAGGGCTATGAGAAAATAAATGCATATAATTAATAGGCAACTGAGAAAACAAATAGTGTAGCCACAAAATATACCAATCATGATTGAATAAAGATACTATTTGCTTATAGCTCTGTTATGCATTTTTTAAAAAGAAGTTTAATTCAATTCTCTTCCTGTCTTCTGAGTCTGACTCCTAACCCAGTAGTAATTTCAACAAGTAATAAAGGTATAAAACTTGTGTGAGAAAACAGGCAATCTTGTAACATACAGGTTATCGAGACCCATAGATACAGTGCAAAAATATATTTGTAATGTACTCAGAAATAAGTGATTTTAAAATACCAGAGAGGAAAGTCATGATATCAAGGAAAGGACTTGGTAAAATTAATAGAGTCAGATGGTAGATTCCCTCTACTCTAAAATGAAAGGGAAAAATGTATCTATTAAGACTTAATACTGGGGGGGGCATGGGGGCAGCAGGTAGTGTGTGGTTAAGTTGCTGGACTCCCACATGGATGACCGCAGTTCAAGGCCTGGACCAGGTAGGTTGCTTTCTCACTTTTCCTTTCTCTTTCTCTGTGTCTGGTCAAATTAATATTAATAATAATAAGAAGAAGAAAAATAATTCTTTTTGAAAAAATAAGAGTTAACACTGGGACCAGCATGTGGTATGGTAGTTAAAGATGTTGGACTCCCACATGGCCCATTGTGGCTCATGTACTGGGCCTTTTAGAAAAAAAGAGTTAATGGGGCCGGCAGGTGGTGTGGTGGTTACAGTGGCTGGACTCTGACCTGGTTGACTGTGGTTCGAGTCCCAGTTTGCTTTCTCACTTTCCTTCTCTCTCTCTGTCTCTCTTTGGTTAACCTCAAATAAATAAATTAATTAATTAATTAATTAATTAAATAATGATAATGAATAAAATTAAAGAATTATTTTTTTAAAGAAAGGTAGTATCGAATTTGAGAAATACTCAGATTATATTCTTATGTTTTCCTCTTCTGACATGGACAAAGTATAATCTGTTGATGAGAGAAGGGTAAAACAGAGGAAGTAAACCAATACTGCTAACTTTTTGGCTAACACAGAAGCTCCAGCATGCTGCGCTGAATTGAGAACAATCTGATTCCAACACAGTTCTGTCCAAGATCTAACTGCCGCTGGAAGTGCTCTGCCACAGAGTTCATTCTAAAAAAAACCTCAGAACAACAAAGGCTCGCATGAATTCAGACGGACTCCAGTTTCTCCCTTATCTTCTGACTAAAAGAGACTAATAAAAATGCCTGTTCTCATATTTTATCTCTTTGGGAAATGCAAATAAATCATGGAGAAAGTTCAAAGTGAGCAAAGGGAGGTGCACTCGTACTACATCAGAGAAAACAGAACATCAAGTCAGGGTTATCCACGTAATGTCCCAGCAAAATGAGGGGGCAAGTAACATATGCTTACAAAAGTGTAATACAATTATCCAAACATATTACGGCAGAAAGGAGAGAAGAGGAAGGGAGGGGACAACATGAGAATGGGAGGAAGAATAAAAGGCAGAACCCAATCTGAAAGAGAATCTAAAAGAAGAAAATACCCTATGAATACTTGCACTGAGAATTGAATTAACTCAAATGATAGAAAAACAAAGAGCTGGATGAGATAAGAAAAAGTGAGGAAAAAATAGTACCACTGCAAAAACAGTTTAGCTCAAAATAGAAGAAAGGCCTGAAATAAAACAGCCGATACATAAGAAACAGACAAAAGATCAGAAGAACAACAGAGAAGGTATGGAGGGCAGAACCATTCCGACATACTATATATAGTCAAATATTCCTGAAACAACTAGGAAATAACAACAGAAAAGCGTAATTAAATAGGGAAATATTTTTAAATATAGTATGTTAAGATTTCTTTGAGGGACTGGCAGGTGGCTTGGTGGTTAAGGGCGCTGACTGACCACGGTTCAAGTTCAGAACTGGCAGCTTTCTTCCTCACTTTCTCTCTCTCTTTCTGTCCTTCTCTGGTCAAATATACATAAATATAAAGTTAAATAAAATAATTCTTTTAAAGAAAGATTTCTTTGAAATGAAGTGCAGAAAAGATAGTTGAAAAAGGAATAGGGTGTTCTGAGAAAACCTAATATAGAATGATAAAATCAGGAAATATCTTGGTTAAAATATTGAGGCTCAAATTAAAGAGAAAAAGAAAGAACTCTTCAAGTTCAGAAACAAATGAGAAGGGGAAATTAAGCTAACCTCAGATATCTCAACAGCAAGAAAAATACTGGAAAATAGTGTTCTAAGGGAAACAAAACATGGCCCAAGAACAGGAAACAGTCAAGGTCTTCAAGTTTAAAGGGTAAGGACAAGTTTAAAAAGCATGTCAAACACAGGAATATACTACCAAAGGTCTATTTTTAAAAGTCCTTGAATGGTACAAATCCATCTAGCTAAGGATAAATCAAGACAAAGAACTCAGAAATGAAGAAGCAATGACACAAGAGTTACGATAAGCTTAGACTCCAATTACACACAGAACTGAGTCTAAATAAGTGTAGTAATTATAAATACAGAACAGAATCTAAATGTTAAAAATTTTGATAATAAAATGATAACAATAGATTGAACTACTCTGAAAGTAGGGAGAGAGGAGAAAGAATGAAACCACTAATATTCTTTTTCGACACATATTAATGTATATGTCTTTAAATTAAAACACAAAATTAAATACAATGAATTTAAAAATGTTTTCTCAATGCCTTTTTATAATCTTAGAAAAATATTTTAAGAAAAAAAATACCACTGAAAGTGACAAAATACTTAAGCAATTCCTTCCACTTCTTTTATTTCTCTTCTGTGAAATTAATATTCATATTTTAAATGTAGCACTATAGGATACTTCCATTTTTAGAAAATTGTTTGCAAATGTGCTTATCTACCTACATTTGTAAAAATCAGAATGTATATATAAAGATATTTCTGGAACAACAATCACATAATTTTCACTATAATTTTTTGTAGGTGAATTTTGGATAAGATTTTTATGCTCTTTGCTATATTGTTTGAATTATTTATCATGAGCACATAATTTTTTAGAAACAGTTACATTATTCTTAAAAACAGAAGGGCAAGAAGGAAAGAGAGGCTAGGAGGGGGTCTCCAAAAAGTTCATTATGAGAGAACTATGCAAGGATTTAAAAAAATTTTTTTCAAAGAATTATTTTTTATTTAACTTTATTTACCTATTAATTTATTTTCTAGTTTGACCAGAGAGGGACAGAGCAAACAAGAAAGAGTGGGAAAGTGAGAAAGCAAGCCGTAAGGTTCAGGACTCAAACTTCGGTGGACCATGTGGGAGTCCAATGACCTTAGCCACCATGCCTCCTGCCAGCCCTCAAAAAAGTTTAAACCAAAATAAACCTGTACTTTATTTCTAGCATTCTATGAACTTTTGAAGTCCCCCTCATATTAGAAATAGAAGTGAGGGCCAGCAAGTGGTGTGGTGGTTAAGATGCTCGACTCCCACCTGGCCCACAGTTTTCAAGTCCCAGACCTGAGGGCTTTCCCCTTCTCTTTCTCTCTGGTCAAATTTAAAAAATAATAATAATAACAAATAAAATTAAATTAAAAATAAATAATTCTTTAAGAAAAAAAGAAACAGAAATAAAATGAGATATTTTCAAAGTTGTTTCCAGTACCAAAATTACAAGAACTTGCTAACAATTATAAAAGAATGGAGGGGTGGGGACGGCATGACTTAAATAAGAAGGAGCGCTTAGTCCAAAAAATGTCAATCAATTATTTTATTTGAAACATTTGCATTTATTATAAACATAGTAAGTTTACCTTTTGCTAGTAAAAATGTGATCCAAGAAATTTTTAGTACCAACACAGGATTTATTTCAGTAGATATCCTAGTAAATAAATAGAAAACAGAAAAATAACTACAGAACGTTTTCTAACCATATCTTTTGGGTGTCTTTGCTTGTTTAAATTATAAAACTGGGGTAAATGCACATAGAATATAATCTATTTTAAATGCACAGTATACACATGAACTTAATTTGCCACAATTCACTTAGTGTTTTTATCGAGATGTTGTATTTAACCACGTATACATTTTGTAAAGACATCTCAATTCTAATCTAAAAATATATAAAGGGCATAGTACTATAATGTACTCTGTTTCAAATGACCTTGATACTTTTTTGTTCTTTATAGTTTTCTAATTTAAATCAACATTGTAAACAGAAAAGTAATGATCTGGGTGATTCTAGTTTGCCAATTTAACACTTTGCCTTGGCAAGCTTTCCACATTCACTTGTTGGATAACAGATACATATTAATTAATAAACAATTTCCCTTTCTATCAATCATCTTCAATAATACTACTTGAAGGGGACAAAACTCTCTTATGTACAATTGATTCATTTTCTCATGCCAGTCTAGGACTATCCCACACCATCCTTGCTCCTCAGACCAGACCTGGTTCATCCTCCCATCCCTCACACCCCTACCTGACACACACACATCAGGTGTTCTTCTGGAGCTCTACATGAGTATATTTTACAGCATACATTACACATTTTTAAAATAATGTGGAAATTTTAATATAGGCCTTTGTATTCATTCTTATACAAAAATCATGTTCCAAGTCTTAGTTAATGAAAAGTCTATAATTAACTGTATATAGATTTGGTTGATGAATTTGCATTTTTCCCAGAGTTTGTGATACGATGAATCAAATCCATTTCTACCTTATTAGTTCTCCCTTGTCGTACAAGGCATATTTTTACACCATTTTCTTTGTGAGAAGATAGATGATTTAGATAGGACTTAACTTTAAAGAAACATACTAAAAGCAATCAAATCAATGCCCATGTTATCAACATGTCTGATTTCCAGAAAAATCTCTTTATTTTTAAATTGTCAGAAACAGACAACAAGAGGGAAAGGGAATAAGCACCTCTTACTGAGGTATTGTCATACCACAATCCCTTCTCCTCTACTTCTCCATCCTGTTGGGGTTTTAGACATGCATGCACATGGGCTGGGTATGTTTTCTCAAGTCACTGGGGTAACGATTCAAACTACACTCAGCCATGTGAGATCTGACTCCCTTAAACACTAGGCCATGGGGCCAGCCCCAGAAAATATTTTTTTAAAAAGTGGAAAATGACGTTCTGAACTACTTACGAACTGCTGGGCTGTGTCAAATATATAAGTTCACATGTCCTGAAAAAGAAAAAAATTATATTAACATTATAGCTTTCAAAAAGATACATTTTAATTTTTTTATGATTTAGAAATCATAGTAACTTAATCATGTTTTATTCATCTTTTTTTTTAAAGTACATATACATTTCAAGAACAAAAATGGGCCCAGCCACACTGGCACACGCTAAGAAGCAGCCACTCTGCAGACTGAGGCCACATGGAAGGAACAGTTTCAATTCCTGGCCAATCTGAAGGCCAGATACAATGGTAGGTGTCTGCAGTACCAGCTGAGGCTGGAAGGTGACAGTGTGAGACCCTGTCTCTGAAAAAAGAAAAAGAAAGTATAGCATTATGAAACAAAGTTGAAGTTGATTTTTCCAATTACAACATCTTATATCACTGGAATATCTAAGTACAAGTTTATTTGTAACTCAGAATACATTTATACTTGAATCTTTTTTTTTTTTTGAGATTTTTTTTTTTTGAATCTTCTCTTTTTTTTTGAGAGAGGTTTTTTGTTTGTTTGTTTGTTTTCTATAGGGTGCGTGTGTTCACCAAAAGGACAGAGACAGAGAGACAGAAAGCAAGAAATCACTCCCCAGGGGGTACGGCTACACCACAATCCCTTCTCCTCCATTCTCCTCTCAGGATCTTGGGCATACATGCACACATGTACACATGCCCGGCATGAGTTTAAGCCACCGGGTCCAAGACTTGAACTGCAGGTGACTACATGGGAGTCCAGCGACATAGCCGTTATGCCAACTGGTGGTCCCAATACTTGAATCTTATTCTAATAGATCTGGTTAAAGCCCAGATCAGATCAGAAAAGTGTATTTTACTAACAGTAATATCTATTTATATTGGTCTTTCCTGAAATAAACAGACTTAGGTATCACAGTTAATCTTCCCAATTTTTCTTCAGATAAAGGTACAAATAAGAAAAAGAAAAAAGGAAAAAAAAAAAAAACAGCTGATCTACCAAGAGACAAATATACTCTAAATTCTCTCACATGACTAGTCGATAAAAATTCTAAATCCATTTTACAAAGTCTTGAGTGATCTTTTAAGGTCAAATCTATGTTACTCCTCAGTTTAAAATCATTCAATGGCTTTCTACCCCCTGCAAGGCAAAGTTCAAGCTCACTATCAATCTGATCCCTTCTGGCCTTTCTGTCATTAGCAATATCAAAATATATCCTGCTACTGTTTTGGCTTTGTACATATGCTAATCCTGTCTAGGATGCTCAGTCCCAGTTCCCATTCATTTAGCTTGGCCAATTTTGACTTATCCTTTCAACACTATTCAGACATTGCCATCTTTTTCTTTTTTTCTTTAAGAATTATTTATTTATTTTTATTATTATTGTTAAATTTGCTATAGGGTATGCACACTCACCAGGGAGAAACGAAAGAGATTGAAAGACAGAATGAGAGAGAAGGTGAGAGAGAGGGAGAGGGAGGAAAAGAGAGAAAGCAAGCTGCCAGGTCCAGGTCTTGAACCACAGTCAACCATGTGGGAATCCAGAGTCTTAATCACCATGCCACCTGCCAGTTCAACATTGCCTTCTTCTATCGATTTTTCATGATCAAAATCATCCCTATAGTTACCCTCTCACCATTAAACATATACAATGTAATACTTTCCATGCTGTAACACAATCCTTCACAGTAAAGCATCACATTCATTATTACATTTACTTTAATAAGCAATATAATGTAATATAATCTTGATAATTATGTCATAAGATTGTGTATCACCAGTTCCTAACTAACACCTCAATACTAACACTTAAGATAACACTTGATGGGGAACCAGCAGTTAGCATAATGGCTATGTCACTGGACTCCCACGTAGTCAACCGCAGTTCGCGTCCCGGACCCGGTGGCTTAAAACTCACGCCAGGCGCGTGTGCGTGCGTGCCCAAGATCTCGAGAGGAGAATGGAGGAGAAGGGATTGTGGCGTGACCATTCCCCCTGGGGGGTTGATTTCTCACTTGCTATCTCTATGTCTCTCTCTGTCTGTCCGAGCGCACGAGCCCTATAGCGAAAACCTCTCAAAAAAAAAGGTAACGCTTGATGTACTTCGTCAATTGAGTAGCAATGAAACAGTTAATAGTGTAGGTCTTTAAAGTATATTCCACAAGATTTGACAAGATTTTAACTGATGTTAAATAAACATATTTAAGTATTATGGTAAGTTTAGGAAATGCTGAACTCAACAAAGTTTAAGAGTTTGTTCTATAGGACTTTGAAAAAACCTTGGGTTGTCATTGTACATTGTGATTCATGCCCCAAAAAAATGTGCCAAAGGGCTTTCAGTGGAGAGAGAACCAATACATGTGCGCACGCGCAGGCACAAGAAAGCACTCCTCCACCCCTATTCTTCACCCCCTCCAACCCCTACTCCACCTCCCCATGGAGCACGGTCTCACCACAGTCTCTTCTCCATTTCTCCATTCTGGGATTTGGGGCACATGCACACACACATACTTGATTTGTTTTTTCAAGCTGCTGGGTCCAGGATCCAGTCACCTTAATTACCAGGCCATGGGCTGGTCCCATTGTGACTCTTTAAGGGAGAGGCATGCTATGAAATGTTTCACAAAGTGGGGGAAAAATAATTGTTTGTTTGCTTTAAAAGCTAACATTCATGGAAAACTATGTTTATGCCAGGTACTAGACTCGGCACTGTCTATACATTATCTTATTTTATATATTAAAAAAAAAACTAACAAAGTAGGTACTACTATAAACTTGATTTATGTGTTAGAAAATTAAGCACTAAAGTTACATAACTCATTTGTCCAAAATCACACAGAGCATGTTGGAGCCCAGGTAAGAATCCAAATCTGCTTGACTCAAAAGACTCCATTCTCTTCTCCCTCCAGCTGTACTAGAGTCCTCCTGTTAGGTAGGACATCACGCCAGATTACTGTTTTACAGAAAATGCTTTAGAAACTCTGGTATTGTGCATTATTTACTAATCTGGAAATATCAGAGTTTAATGAGAAAATATGGGATCTGAAATGAAGAGTCTCAACACTTCAGAATTATCCATACAAACCACACAATATTTTAAAACTTGCACTTCTCAACATGTAATAATTGTACTCGTTGTTTTGTTTGTTTGTTTTTAACATTCTTTATCATCTGAATTTTCTACCATTTAAGCAATTTTTTATAACTTTCTTCTTCCCATCCTCCTGGACTAACTTATACTCTTCAAAAAATATACACAAAATAAATATATACTTTAATAGAATTATAATATGAATCTGAACATTTGAAAAAATGAATGTTGGCTTAATACCTTTATTTATTGATCACTACTGTTTATGTAAAAGGGGGGTGGTGGGACCAGCAGATGGCGTAATGGTTACATCAATAGACTCCCACATAGTCTACTACAGTTCAAGTCTCAGACTCAGCAGATTAAAACTCACACCCGGTGCCTGTGTGTACATGCCCAAAATCCTGAGAGGAAAAAAGGAGGAGAAGGGATTGGTACGTGGCCACCCTGGGAGGGGGGTGGTGATTTCTCACTTTCTATCTCTTTGTCTCTATCTCTCCAGCAAGCGCACATACCCTATAGCAAAAATCTCTAAAAAAATTAATAAATAAAAAATTAAAAAATGAGGGGTTGGTAAACACCTTAAACGAAGTAGACTGTAAAGTCTGCAATTATCTACTAGGCTATTCTACTTTCTAATTTCTTTTTATAATTTCCCCTTAGAGAATCAGATACAATTAATCAGTAGAGTGTGAAGGGTAAAGAGGGAAAAAAAAGACATATCCAAGCAGATTCTTTATTTCAAACCAAAAAACCTGGGCGTATCCTGTTAAGACATTACAATATTATTGTATTTATGCACACACACGTGCGTTTATCATCCATGGTTCCTGGCTCCTAAGTTTTAGCCTTTTGTTCTTGGTTCCAGAAGCAACTGAGAGATAAAGGTGACGTCTGACCTTCCTCTACTCTGCTTTCACCTGCTCCTTTTTCTCCCCAAGGCTGGTCATGGAAACTAGCCCCAAAGCAGGTCTTCGAAACTCTAATCTTCTCCTGCCTTTATGACTCCTCATTCCAGAGGGGTTCTGCTACATACCGAAAAGGAATTCCGCACAGAGGGGCCAAGAATCTGAACAGACAGGCCTTGCTGTGTTTCCCCACCCAGTCTATTAGCATTTCATGCCTATTCAATGAAGTCCCCATAAAGACCCAAAAGGACTGCGTGGCCAACTTCCGGTTAACCGAACACGTGGAGGTCCTGGAGGGTAGCGCGGTCACAGACCGCATGGAAGCTCCGCGCCACGCCGATTCCACACGCGCAGCCCTACACGTCTCGTCGTCTGTATCCTTCGAAATATCCTTTATAAAAACCGGTAACTGTAAGTGTTTCTCTAAGCTCTGCGAACCTCTATAGCGGATTAATGGAACCCAATGATGGTGGGGTGGGTCATGGGCCGCCCAGTGTGTATAACGGGTAGGTCGGAGGCATAAGTTAAACAATCGGGTTTGCGACTCGATTCAGAAGGTTGGGGGGAGGCTCTTGCAGTCCTGGGGACCGAACCCTCACTTTCTTGGGATCTGATACTATCTCCAGGTAGATAGTGCGAGAACGGAACTGAAATAGAGGACACCCCACTGGTGTCTACTGTGGAACTGAATGCTTGTTTGCTAGTGGAGAAATATCCACATATTTTGGAATCCAGGAAGTGATTTCTATTGATTATTGAGTGAGAGAGTTCAGAAGAGATTAAAACAGCTTTTTTTTTTTTTTTTTTTTTAACATTCTCGGGATTACTGTATCGGGAAACAAAAATCAGAATAGCACCCCAACTCTCTTCTACCAAGCAGCCCCCAAATCCTATGTATAGAAATAACCTGATACATTTAAATTGTGATTACAGAACAGAATTTTCTTAAAATTGGCTTAGAGACGTTTTAGCTTACTTTGTTAGAGGTAGCATACCCTTAGAAACTGAAATTTCTCATATGAAATCTTGGTAAATATTTTGGTAAACTTTTGTCCAATCATTTCTTTTTAAAATTTTTTTCTTTTCTTTTTTTACAATTGAAGTATGAATATATATATATATATATATATATATTATATATGAAACTAGAAATGGAAAATATTGACAACATGCATGGTTAAGCCAATTATTTCATTTTACGAATTAGTATTCTGTTATTTTTTCTTTATGTGCAGTTATAATTACTGTATATCATGCTTTGTTTACTTAATGTTAAAAGTACTTTTCTCCCACTATTATTCCTTATCAACCTTTATATTTTTAATACTTTATTTACTGTATAACTTTAGTTATGAATATGTAAGTTTCCAGTTTTTAAGGGGTTGAAATATTATTCTGACAAAAATCTCTAAAGTTTTTCTGTATTTAGGATATTCTTTAGGATAAGATCCAAGATAGGAATTAAAAGGTTATATACAAGTTTAAAGAACAGAAAATAATTTAGAAAGTCACTATTAGGTACCTTTTTTTTAAAGGCAAAAAAAAATTGTATTTTCAGTATGATTTACTCAGTGTAAAACAGTACTAATGGGAAGAAACATTCTAAAATATAAAAAATGATTACAGGATTGTAAGTTTAATTCCTAATTTTCATTTATATTTGTGTGTTTTCTAGTATTCTATAATTCTCATTTCTTACACGAATTAGGTGATTTCTTTAATAATAAAAAATTTCCTATTTATGGTGCAAAAAGCTTCTGCTCTCTTCAAGAAAGGGCAAAATAAATTAAAAAAAAAATAATAATGATGGCCAAAGCTACAATATTGCAACTAAAACCCAGGAACAAGTAAAGATACTCCTTCAAAAGCTCTGGGCAAGCTTTCATTTTTTTTTCCACTTTTCCCATCTTTGATCCCAACTGTAAAGTTCATGGCATACCAACCAAAAAGAAAGAAAAGAAAAAAAAAAAAGAAAGAAAGAGGTATCCTGAGACCATGCCTCTTTCGATCTCTATCGCCTTCCTCATTCTCCCTAAGATATCTAAGAACATGCTCTTTTTCTGCTCACCTTTTATACAACTTAGTTAAAACATTAACTTTCATATTTGCTTATGCAAAGCAAATGTAATATCAGGCATATGACATTAAGGGCTATGCTGCTTGGAGTGGAGACCTACTTTGGATGAAAAGTATATTAAAAACTTAAGTATGCATTACTCCCAGTAGAACATTAGTGGTAAAAAGTCTTCTAAGCCTCCATTGGGAGTACAAATCATTACTAGGTAATACAGGTCACAAACACGTTCAATCGCTAGTGTGCTTTCTCTTTCTAAACTAAATAATACCATAAGGAAGAAGTTTAAATTTAGGTCACTATTCTACTCAGAAGTCTTCTATCAGAGAAGGCTAAAATGGGAACTAAAAGTCTGTGAAAAGAAATAAGACATATAAAAGAATAGAGAATAGTTCACTTTAGAGGAAGCGTTATGCATTATGACTGGATAACTAAGAAAACAGAACAAGCCTAGGGCATTATATTTAATAACATCACTAAATATCTAGTAGTTCCCAGATGGATTCTAACTATGAACAGTGACGTGAAAAAATAATAAAAAGTTTACCTTTCTAGCTTGCTGTAGAGTGCACATAATACATTATACTTCTTCAACAATCTTGACATAGCATTATCAACTTTGGTACTCGTATCAATTTCTTTTAGTAAGTCAAAGAATTTATAGACACTACAAAGGAAAGAGAGGAAAAGATGAGTCAGTAAATTTCAAAATTTATTTCATTTTCAAAGCATAGACATTTCTTCTTATTTAGAATTATTTTATTTAACTTTATCCATTTATTTATTTATTTATTTTTGCTTTTTTGGTTTTTTTTTTTTTTTTTTGAGAGGGTTTTTTTTCACTATAGGGCGCGTGCGCTCGCCAGACAGACAGAGAGAGACATAGAGACAGAAAGCGAGAAATCACCCCCCAGGGGGGATGGTCACGCCGCAATCCCTTCTCCTCCATTCTCCTCTC